TGGCGTGATCTTGGCTCACTGCAACCTCTGCGTCCTGGGTTCAAGCAATTCTCCTGACTCAGTCTCCTGAGTAGCTGGGATTACAGGCACCTGCCACCATGCCTGGCTAATTTTTGTATTTTCAGTAGAGATGGGGTTTTGCCATGTTGGCCAGGCTGGTCTCAAACTCCTGTCTTTAAGTGATCCACCCACCTCAGCCTTCCAAAGTGCTGGGATTAGAGACGTGAGCCACCGTGCCCAGCCCTTATCTCCACTTGTTTAGTCCCTCCACATGCCCCACTGCTCTCTTTACTGTTCCTGGCACAGTCCCACCCCAGGGCCGCTGTACTTGCCGTTCCCTCTGCCTGGATATTGCCTACAGCTTCAGATCTCAGATCTAACATCACCAGCACAGTGACACCACCTGGACTCCCACACCTGCCACAGGTCCAAACAGTTCCCTGTGCTTTACAGACCTACAGACATACTGATGGCATGTCCCAGTTTGCAATCATACATTCACCAATATACCCCCAAACTGTAAGGCCTTGAGAGAAAGCCCGCCCTCTTAATGCCTGATACACAATAGGTGCTTGATAATGTTTGTGGTCTGAGGTCGGGCATGGTGGCTCAAGCCTGTGGGAGGCTAAGGTGGGTGGATCACTTGAGGTCAGGAGTTTCAGACCAGCCGAGACAACACAGTGAAACCCTGTCTCTATTAAATACACAAAAATGAGCCGGGTGTGGTGGTTTGCGCCTGTAATCCCAGCACTTTGAGAGGCCAAGGCAGGCGGATCACCTGAGGTCGGGAGTTTGAGACCAGCCTGGCCAACATGGTGAAACCCTGTCTTTACTAAAAATAAAAAATATGCCTGGTGAGGTGGCTTATGCCTGTAACCCCAGCACTTTGGGAGGCTCAGGCACGCAGATCACCTTAGGTCGGGAGTTCGAGACCAGCCTGACCAACATGAAGAAACCCCATCTCTAAAAATACAGAATTAGCCAGGCATGGTGGCGTGCACCTGTAATCCCAGCTACTCAGGAGGCTGAGGCAGGAGAATCACTTGAACCTGGGGGGAGGAGGTTGCAGTGGGCCAAGATTGTGCCATTGCACTCCAGCCTGGGCAACAAGAGCAAAACTCCATCTCAAAAAAAAAAAAAAAAAAAAAAATTAGCCAGGTGTGGTAGTATCTGCCTGTAATCCCAGCTACTCAGGAGGCTGAGGCACAAGAATCGCTTGAACTACAGAAGTGGAGGTTGCTGTGAGCCAAGATTCCTTCACTCCACTACAACTTGGACAACAGAGTGAGACTCTGTCTCAAAATAAATAAATAAAATGAAAATTAAAAAATAAATAAATATACAAAAATTAGCCAGCTGTGGTGGCAGGCACCTGTAATCCCAGCTATTTGGGAGGCAGAAGCTGGAGAACTTGCTTGAACCCGGGAGGCAGAGGTTGCAGTGAGCTGAGATCTCACCACTGCACTCCAGCTTGGGTGACAGGGCAAGACTCTGATTCAAAATCAAACAAAAACTCTGTAGTCTGAATAAATAACCAATTCCCCACTTCTGACCTCTATCCCCATTTATCTAGTCAAAGAAGACCAGCAAAACATCTCTTTCTTCCCAAACCCCCATCTCTCCCCAGCGGTCCATACCAGTATAGGAACCCAGTAATAGTTGAGGGGTGGTGCTGTATCCTGCACGATCCTAATACGGTGAGTGAAGAAGAAGAAAGCCAGGATCCCTGGAAAAAGGAGAGGAAAGCAAGATGCTGAAGGGTTCTGGGTATAGGAAACAGCTTCCCAAGAAGATGACACCCAACACAGAAGACGGAAATCAGGCTCCCACACCCTGAGAGACTAGGTGAACGGCACTCACCCACACTACCCACGATCAGAAGTTTGCCCAACAGAAAGAGGAAGTCAGTAACTTTGTCCAGGACAGCCACTCTGTAGGGGACAGTGAGGGTCAGGTGTGAATGCTGGCTTCAGGGACTAGGGGAAGAGGTGGGGTGGCAGGAGGAAGATGTCTTCCCTGACCTGATGATGTTTCTCATGAGCAGAAAGAAGGCATTCCTGGCTGAGGTGCAGAAATTGGTGCCGTAGATGGCAATCTGGAGGAGAGTGGGAGGGAGAGATCAGACTCACTGAGTGGGCATGGTGGTGGTGGTGGTGGTGGGGGGCATCACCATGCAGGAGCTGTTGGGTTGGTTGGCGGTCCCAGGCCCACTCACCATGATGTAGGCATTCCTGTTGAGGAATTTGATGAACTTCTCCAGGCACCAGAAGCAGCATTTGAGACAGGTCATGAGGTACTTGGCAAACCTGTTCTCCGCAGCTAGAAAAGAAGGGAAGGGATGTGGAAGTGAGGGGACACCTGGCCTGGCCTGGAAGGGATCCCCTCTTCCCTATCACACACATTTGCCACTGTCCAGGTCTCCTGAGTCCATGCTGTCAAAGAGACAGGGACTTGAGCCCAGGATTTTGAGGCTCCAGTGAGCTATGGTGGTACCACTGTACTCCAGCCTGGGCAGCAGAAAGATCTTGTCTCTAAAACAAAGAGCAACCAGTCCCAGCCCCACAGCCCCTCTTCTGGCTTTTTTTTTTTGAAACGGAGTCTCGATCTGTTACAGGCTGGAATGCAGTGGCTCGATCTTGGCTTACTGCGACCTGCACCTCCCGGGTTCGACCAATTCTCCTGCCTCAGCCTCCCGAGTAGCTGGGATTACAGGCACGTGCCACTACGCTCGGCTAATTTTTGTATTTTTAGTAGAGACGGGGTTTCACCATGTTGGCCAGGCTGGTCTTGAACTCCTGAACTCCGCTTTGGCCTCCCAAAGTGCCGGGATTACAGGCATGAGCACCGCATAAACCCATAAACCAGTTTTATTCCTGCTCTCTTGAGCGCAAACAGATCTCACTCCTACTCGCTCTAGTAATAACCAGTGGTGGGCCAGGCCTCATGAGCCTGCCTCCTCTGGTAGGCTCTCTGGGCTGCTTCTGCATCACAGGACCCAATCACGCAAACTCCCGAACGTCACCGTCACAGACAGAAACCAATGACTCCCCTATTCTCTTGTCCCCACCCACCTCCAAGCAAGAACCAATCCTGGTTTGCTACTCAGCCTCACCCCCCCCCCACACCCGCAGGAGCCAATGCCAGCCGTGGGTGGGCCGTACCTTTCAGCCGCTGATCCAGGTACTCTAGGATCACTCGGATGATCTGCACAATGGCCAGGATGAGCGCGCCAAAGGCTAGGGAGCCTGTGTGGTACCTGCGGGCCGAAGGGGTGGTCGGTGGCCGGGCCAGGCCTAGTCCTCCACCCCGTCCTGCCTGCAACGCCAGCCCACCTGAGCGCCCGACCGAAGGCAGAGAAGAGCGGGAAGGCGGGCAGGTCGTCTGGCTTGCGCAGGGCCCAGTAGTAGGAGGCAAAGGCCCCGGCCAGCGTGACTTGGCCCAGCGCCAGCACGAAGTTGGCCAACCAGAAGAACATGAAGGCATTGAAGATCTGCAGGCCCAGCAGGGCCCGGTGGTAGCCCGACTCACCACCGTAGAAGGCGAACTGGCAGCGGGCATTGGGGCATAGGCGAGACTCATTGGAGGAGGAGAAGGTCTGTGGGAGAGAAGGGAGAACGAGTCCAAAAAGAGGCGCCAGGACTTCAGAGTGAGCTCTGAGCATCAGATGTGGGGCCAGGAAGACATGGGGATCAGAGTTAAGTGAAGGAATTAAGGGTTCCGAATATGGGCTTGTGCAAAAAAAGGGATTCTAGAAACAAGAAGTGACCATCACCAGGGTCAAGAGGAAGGCATGGAGACAGGAAATGAAGTGGGGAAAATGAGTGATTTAGCACCTGGGGTGAAGGCCAGGTCAAGTTGGAGAAGTCAGTTTGTCCCGGGAAGTTGTTTGATCCTCCCACCTCCCCCAGCCAGCACAGGGCATGCAACAGGGGACAGTTGCTTGCTGAATAATCTCCAAGTGGACATGAGAGGTTTCAAATCATCTGGGGCCTGCTGGGGCAGGCCCTCCCCACCCCAGGGATGCCCACCTCTGGGTTGCACGTTTTCGCAGTGAGTGGGCAGGGGCCATCATCAAAGATCTTATAGACCGCTTCGTTGGAAGTGGACAGGAAGCTAGAGGCTCGTTAAGGAAGTGGAGGTCTAGGACTGAGGACCCCAGGGACTTGTGGGAAAGAATCTATTCTCCCACCAGTTTCCAGCCCTGTTCCTAAGCTGCAGGTTACTTCTGGGCAAAGTTGGTCTTTAGCCATCCCTGGGGTCAGAGATTGGTATCTGGGGGTGGATACACTGCAGTGCTGGCCCAGTAGGCAATGCAGAGGCACAGCAGGAAGAAGGTGACCAGTGGGTAGAGCATGGAGCACATGACGTATCCCACAGCCCTAGGGAGGAACAGAGACACAGGCATCAGGGCAAAAGACATGACTCTAGGGATAGGTTCATCTTGGCCCCTGATGCCCCGGCCCCTACCTGCTGGCTTCTTTGATGAGTGCGATCGCGATGAGAATTCTCTTCCGGAGAAAGATGAGCAGTAAGATGATAATGACTTCAAGGATACTCAGAATGATCACTGCAAAGGGCAAAGGCTGAGCCGCCTGGGCTCCCCACTCCCTCCAAGTCCTCATGTAGGGGCAGGATTGGGAGACTGGGACTCACTAAAGGCCAACCAGGTCTGCCGTAAATGCAGGTACACCCGGAAATCCGTCTGAAAGCCGAGGTCCACCAGAGAGACATCAGAGCCAGCCTCACCACGCAGTCGGGAGTACTCCATGTAGCAGTGAAATATGCCTGCATGGGGAACCACAAGCTCAGTCCACCAGTGCCTCCTGCAACTTTGCAAAGCAGCTACAGCTGCCCCATTTAACAGAAGCAAACACTGGCCAGGCTTGGAGGCTCACACCTTAAACCCAGCATTTTGGGAGGCCGAGGTGGGCAGTGGGAGGCCGAGGTGGGCAGATCATCTGAGGTCAGGAGTTCGAGACCAGCCTGGCCAACATGGTGAAACCCTGTCTCAACTAAAAATATAAAAAGTTAGCCAGGCGTGGTGGTGGGTGCCTGCAGTTCCAGCTACTCGGGAGGCTAAGGCAGATAAATTGCTTGAACCCAGGAGGTGGAGATTGCAGTGAGCTGAGATTGCGCCATTGCACTGTAGCCTGGGCAACAGAGCAAGACTCTGTCTCAAAACGAAACAAAACAAAACAAAACAAAACAAAACAAAACAAGAAAACAGAAGAAAACATTGAGCATGAGAGGCTGCCTTTTTTTTTTTTTTTTTTTTTTTTGGAGTTTCGCTCTTGTTGCCCAGTCTGGAGTGCAATAGCATGATCTCGGCTCATCGAAACCTCTGCCTCCCAGGCTCAAGCGATTCTCCTGCCTCAGCCTCCCCAGTAGGTGGGATTACAGGCAAGTGCCATCATGCCCAGCTAATTTTGTATTTTTAGTAGAGACGGGGTTTCTCCATGTTGGTCAGGCTGGTCTTGAACTCCTGACTCAGGTGATCCGCCTGCCTTGACCTCCCAAAATGTTGGGATTACAGGCATGAGTCAGCGTGCCTGGCAGAGGCTGCCTTTTCTTGTGCCTGCCTCAGGGACTTTACACTTGCAGTTCCCACTGCCAGGCACTTTCTCTCACGATGGCTGGATCCCACATATCCTTAGGTCTCTGCTCAAGTGTCACCTTCACAGGAGACTTTCCAGAATCCTTTCCCCCTATTTGGAATCATAATCATGCTGCCATGCTCTAACTTCTCTCTTTCTCTTTTTTGAGGAGTCTCACTCTGTCGCCCAGGCTGGAGTGCAATGGCATGATCTTGGCTTACTGCAACCTCTGCCTCCCCGGTTCAAGAGAGTCTCCCTGCCTCAGCCTCCAGAATAGCTGGGATTACAGGTGCCCGCTACAACGCCTGACTAATTTTTATATTTTTTAGTAGAGACAGGGTTTTGCCATGTTGGTCAGGCTGGTCTCGAACTCCTGACCTCAGGTGATTTGCCCAGCTCAGCCTCCCAAAGTGTTGGGATTATAGGCGTGAGCCACCGCACCTGGTCGAGTCATTTTTTTTCCCACCTTCGCTCCCCTCCACATTTTTTCTTTTTTAAAGACAGTGTCTTTCTCTGCTGCCCAGACTGGAGTGCAGTGGCAGGGTCACAGCTTATCGTAGCCTCAAACTCCCAGGCTCGGGCAATCCTCCCACCTCAGCCTCCCCAGTAGCTGGGACTATAGGCTTACACCACTACACCCAGCTAATGTTTACATTTTTGGTAAAGATGCGGTCTCATTATGTTGTCCAGGCTCGCCCAAAACTCTTGGGCCTCCCAAAGTACTGGGAGATTACAGGCACGAGCTACTGTGCCTGACCCAAGTAGATTTCTTGAGAATGCCTTTTGCTGTTGATAAAAGTACAGACCTAGACCCTGGATTGGAGGGCAGTGGTGAGCCTGGCTTAACACAGCCCCCACTGAAGGATGCTGAGGCTGTTATCACAGGAATCTGCTCTTGGCCTGTAACCCCACACTTTCAGAGGCCAAGGTGAGAGGATCACTTGAGGTCAGGAGTTTAAGACCAGCCTGGCCAACATGGTGATACGCTATCTCTACTAACATACAATAATTTGGCCAGGCATGGTGGCTCATGCCTGTAATCCCAGCACTTTGGGAGGCCAAGGTGGGCAGATCACCTGAGGTTAGGAGATCTAGACCAGCCTGGCCAACATGGTAAAACCCCATCTCTACTAAAAATACAAAAATTAGCCAGCTGTGGTAGTGCATGCCTGTAATCTCAGCTACTGGGGAGGCTCAGGCAGGAAAATCGCTTAAACCTGGGAGGTGGAGGTTGCAGTGAGCCAAGATCAACCCACTGCACTCCAGCCTGGACAACAGAGCAAGACTTTGTCTTAAAAAAAAAAAAAAAAAAAGGCTGGGCTCGTGGATCACGAGGTCAAGAGATCGAGACCATCCTGGTCAACATGGTGAAACCCCGTCTCTACTAAAAATACAAAAAATTAGCTGGGCATGGTGGCGCGTGCCTGTAATCCCAGCTACTCAGGAGGCTGAGGCAGGAGAATTGCCTGAACCCAGGAGGCGGAGGTTGCGGTGAGCCGAGATCGCGCCATTGCACTCTAGCCTGGGTAATGTGAGTGAAACTCCGTCTCAAAAAAAAAAAAAAAAAAAAAAAAACAGAGCCAGGCTCGGTGACTCAGGCCTATAATCCCAGCACTTTGGGAGGCCGAGGTGGGTGGGTCACCTGAGATCAGGAGTTCAAGATCAGCCTGACCAACATGGAGAAACCCCATCTCTACCAAAAATACAAAATTAGCTAGGTGTGGTGACCCATGCCTGTAACACCAGCTACTCGGGGGGCTGAGGCAGGAGAATTGTTTGAACCCGGGAGGGGGAGGCTGTGGTGAGCTGAGATCGAGATGGCACCATTGCACTCCAGCCTGAGCAACAAAATGAAACAAAAGAAAACAAAGAAAAAAGGATCTGGTCTTCTCAACAACACCAAGATGAACATTTTCACAAGTATGTCAAGTAAGCGATGAAGAATGTCTGATGGCTTAGGATACATTTCCTGATGGGCCATTTCCATGGGAAAGGAAAGGGCGGTGTGCAGATTCAGGAAAGAGGTGTCTCGGTGAGGGGGTGACGCACCATAGCCCAGCACCAGAATCACCATGATGATCATCACCCAGACCATGATACCAGCCAGGAAGCGCAGCAGTATGATGAACAGGAGGCTCATCACCATGGCAATGACCAGGCCTCTGGGGAAAAGAAAAGGGTCATGAACAGATGCCACCCCGGCCAGGCATAGAGGGGGCAGCCAGGGGAGAGGCCCCTTCCCTCCCGACTTACATGATAATCCAGTACCAAGACACGGTGTAATCTTCAAATATGCGCATGGCAAGTTGCCGCGCCTCGAGGACCCCATTGGCTTTCCTGGGGGAAGGAGAACGAGGCTCGGATCAGACCCTTTTCCATGGTCCAGCCAACCCCAGGGAATGCCTGTCCCACCCAGGAAAGCGCGACCCCAGCATGGTGCGCCAACATCCTCACTTAGCACCCTCCACCAGGTCTGTGATGTTTTTCCGGGAGCCGTGCCCATCCTCATAGGTCGTCTCATTGCCCACCATCAGGACACCCTTGTGGGCGTGGATGGCGGGGAAGCATCTCCGGGCCACTGCATGGAGTAGAGGATAGGACCAGTCAGGCTGAGCCTCTGCACAGACTCCCCGTCCCCACCTGAGCCTCCTGGGATCCCCTGACTCACAGGGTTTGCTGGGGATGAGGACAGCGGGGCAGTCACCATCTCGAAGCACCTCAGCGACTCCCTGCCGAGAGAGATGGAGGGAGGTGAGTCCCCAAGGCCAGCACCCTGCCACTACCCATGCCTGAGCTCCTGGGGCAGGCTACAACTCACTTTATTGTTCTTGAAGCCAGGAACACAGAACTGCTTATAGTACTCAAAGTCCCGGGAGTTGCGGGCATTCAGGTACGTGAGGTAGCGGTCGGGGCATTTTTCCACACAGATCTGGGAGGGGAGAAGGAAGGGATTGGGTGGGGTTGGGACAGACTGCTCAGGACTGAAGTCCCAGCCTACCTTCACAGTGGGAAATGGATGGAAAGCAGGGAAAGGAAAAGGGGAACAGTGGGTACAGGTTACCTGGGGAGTAGGACATTGGAATTCCAGCAAAACCAGGGGGCTGGCACACTTCACAATGTTGAAATAAAACAGGAAGGGTTTGTTCCTGGAGTTGGAGAAGGGAGAATGGAAACTGTCAAGACTTCTTAACCACCCAACAGAAAACTTCTTTGCTTCTTTTTTCCTTATTTTCTCTCTCTCTCTCTTTTTTTTTTTTTTTTTTGAGACGGACTGTTGCTCTGTTACCCAGGCTGGAGTGCAGTGGTGAGATGTGGACTCACTGCAACCTCCACCTCCCGGGTTCAAGTGATTCTCTTGCCTCAGCCTCCCGAGTAGTTGGGAACACAGGCACCCGCCACCACGCCCAGCTAATTTTTGTATTTTTAGTAGAGACGGGGTTTCACCATGTTAGGCAGACTGGTCTTGAACTCCTGCCCTCAGGTGATCCTCCCGCCTTGGCCTCCTAAACTGTTGGGATTACAAGAGTGAGTCACTGCGCCTGGCCTCTTTTTGTTGTTGTTTTTTGGAGACACAGCCTTTCTCTGTTGCCCAGGATGGAGAGCAGTGGCACAGCCTTGGCTCGCTGCAGCCTCAACCTCCTGGGCTCAGGTGATCCTCCACCTCAGCCTCCTGAGCAGCTGGGATGACAGGCATGCACAACCACACCTGGCTAATTTTTTGTAGTGACAGTATTTGAACCCAGGTGGCGGAGGTTGCAGTGAGCCAAGATCGCACCATGGCACTCCAATCTGGGCAAAAGAGTGAGACTCTCTCTCTCTCTCTCTCTCAAAAAAAAAAAAGATATTTTATACAGTGCCAGGCAGGATGGCTCAGGCCTGTCTTATGCCAGCACTTTGGAAGGCCCAGGTGGGAAGATCACTTGAGCCCAATTCCAGGCTGTAGTGAGCTATGATCCTGCTACTGGGTGACAGAGTGAGACACCGCCTCAAAATAATAATAACAATAAAACTGCAGCAGCGGCAACTCTATGGCAGGTGCCATTCTAAGCTCTGTATAGGTACTGGCACATCTAACCATCAAAATGGCCCCATGAGGGTGGGACTGTCATGATCCTCATTTTAGAGATGAGGAAACTGAGGCTCAGAGAGATTAAGACACGTGCCCTAGGTCACAGAGCCGGGAAGTGACACCACTCACACTGTACTTGCTCTGCTGTCTCACCTGCTCATCACCACCTGACGTCTGCTCCAGGACCGTCCCCTCTCTGTCTCTCCTGCCCTTAAAATGTGAGCTGCCAAAGAACAGGACACTTACTATCTCATTTAGAGCTATGTGTGTCCCCAAGGCCTAGAATAGTGGCTGAGGCTGGTGAGACTTTTATCAGTACTTGCTTTCTTTTGTTTGTTTTGTTGAGACCAGGTCTCTCTCTGTCACCCTGGCTGGAGTGCAGTGGTACCACCCACCATACCTTACTGCAGCCTTGATCCAGCTCAAGCGATCCTCCCACCTCAGCCTCCTGGGTAGCTGGGACTAGAGGTACACCCCACCATGTCCACCTAATTTTTTTGTTTGTTTCTTTTGAGACAGAGTGTCACTCTGTCACCCAGGCTAAAGTGCAATGGTGCGATCTCCGGTCACTGCAACCTCTGCCTCCCAGGTTCCAGTGATTCTCCTGCCTCAGCCTCCCAAGGAACTGGGATTATAGGCATCTGCCACCACGCCTGGCTAATTTTTTTTTTTTTTTTTTTTTGAGACGGAGTTTCGCTCTTGTTACCCAGGCTGGAGTGCAATGGCACGATCTTGGCTCACCGCAACCTCCGCCTCCTGAGTTCAGGCAATTCTCCTGCCTCAGCCTCCTGAGTAGCTGGGACTACAGACACGCACCACCATGCCCAGCTAATTTTTTTGTAGTTTTAGTAGAGATGGGGTTTCACCATGTTGACCAGGATGGTCTCGATCTCTTGACCTTGTGATCCACCCGCCTCGGCCTCCCAAAGTGCTGGGATTACAGGCTTGAGCCACCACACCCGGCCCTAATTGTCATTTTTATTTTTAGTAGAGACGGGGTTTCACCATGTTGACCAGGATGGTCTCGATCTCTTGACCTCGTGATCCACCCGCCTCGGCCTCCCAAAGTGCTGGGATTACAGGCTTGAGCCACCGCGCCCGGCCTTAATTTTTGTATTTTTAGTAGAGACAGGGTTTCACCGTGTTGGCCAAGCTGGTCTCAAACTCCTGGCCTCAAGCGATATTCCTGCCTCGGCCTCCCAAAGTATTGGGATTTCGGGTGTGAGTCACTGCACCCAGCCCTGTAAACACTTGTTAACTGGACTTAAGGAGATGGGGAACGCCTAGAATCTTCCGCCCACTCCTCCCCAGCCCCACCAGTCCCCAGGGAGGACTCACTCGTTTTTGGTGCCCTTCTGCCCACAGAACTCGCCCCGGCTATCCGTGGGGTAGATGACCTTTCGAGGGTCTCCATGAGTCCAGGCTGTGGAAAGATCCCGGGATACTGAGACGCTGACACTCCTCAGAACCAGCCCTGTTTCCACTGCAGAGGCTGGGGCTGTGTGGCTGCCCCTCCTATCCTGGAACCCCAGGTCCCGTCTCATTCTCTACTCACCTATAATGCCCACAGCCACGTAGCCCACAATGGCCAGGAGCAGAAACACACAGCAAATGACATCTGTGCAGCCCCTGGGGAGCAGAGGGGCAGTGTTGAGGGGAGTCTTGGTGCCGTGTGCACCATGGGCACATCTGCACTCCGCAAACACCC